AACTTGGACCAGTCACATTTCTCAGTGGTGACATACGATCATGAGTTTAGTTCTTGTTTTATTTATTTGTTTTCCCACTCCCTGCTCCTGACTACCAGTCTCATTGCTCCCCAGAGATTCTCCTGCTAAAGTGTGTAATACGTTCTTCAGTGTGTGTCTGTGTCCTTGCAAATTTTGCCGTGTTCTGTAATGGGGCGTGATCCATATTTACATACAGGCCACCACATTCCTGTGCGTTCAGCTCCATCCATACTAACATTGTCCCTTCTGGTTTTGATGCCACTGCCACTGCTGTTGCCTCCACCACTCCTCACTAACTCATTGCCCTAGTTATGGACAGAGCAGTTGCCTCAAGTTCTCGTAATCCTGAGCCAGCATTGTAGGGTATATGCCAGAAGCTTCTCCAGTAAATATGGTGGTTTCTGTAGGTGGATCTAAAGCCTATGATGTTAAAGAAAATTTTTTCAGCTCCTGGTTTTCTGAAGACTTTTGTCAGATGGTGTCTATGTCCCCATACTCTGGGTGATCTCATCAAGTTTCATAAAGGCTTTAAAAATACCACCTGTACTCCTAGGGTTCCTAAGTTTATACCTCTAGCCAAGACTGCTTTCTCAAATACTAGATGGATTTGGGAGCTAACGATGTACTTGGTATCTCCACTTCTAAAAGACATGGCCTAGTCAGCATATCCAAAATCATAGTCATTTTCCCCACAAAACCTACTCTAGCTCACACCTCAAAACACCACCCCAAATGCTGAGACTGCTTTTCCTCATAGATTGAAAACAAACTGGGGATAACTACTCTTGCCTCTCCTATTTAATTTGGTGCCAGAATTCCTGGCCAATGCAATAAGGGAAGAAAAAGAAATTAACAGCACACAGGTTGGAAAGGAAGTGCTGGAACTGTCCCTGTTTTGTCAATAACATGATTTTCTACATAGAAGATGGCAAGGAATCCATGTGCATATCCACAGAACCCCTAGTCCCAGAGAGAGGGTTTAGCAAGATGGTAAGACACAAGGTCAAAACATAAAAATCAGTTGTATTTCTATATAGTAGCAAGGAACATCTTTAAATACGCTGTTATAGTAACACTCTCCAACGGGAACAAAGGGGAAATGCATGGTAAATCTCACAATACACCTGAGGCTATGTATACTGAAGATTCCAATAACTAAATTCATGGAGAGGTTCACAAATGGAAAACTGAGCTTTGCTAAGATGCAAGCCTTCTCCAAACCAAACTATGGATGTAATATAATGACAATCAGAACTATAGTGATGGAGAACAGAGCTGATATTGTTTAGGGCTTCTGTAATTGCAAAGAGACAATGCATGAGAGTTTTGTGGTGATTAGAACTGTTATGTATCTGATAGGATGCAGGTCACACGGAATCTACACATGAGTTAAACTTCTAGGGGACTGGGAGCATCACGCTTGGGGGAGATCAGCAATAGTCATCTCCTTGCTCATTCTGCAGTCAGCAGCCGCATGGTCCGAGTTCTGCTCTGTTTGTTTTAGTATAGAGCAAGTCATTTCTCCTTCCAGAACCTGGGCTTTCTCATCTATAAAGGAGATCATTAAGTCCCTTCCTATCCAATGAATAGGTTGTTGGTTATTCGAAGACATCTTTCTCATTGTTGTATAGATTTCCATCTTGTGAACCCAACTGTGTGTTACTTGTCTTGTTTAAGATGGACAGACATGTTTTTGAGGCTATCACAAACAGGGCTAATAGGAAGGAATGTTCTGCTACACATCTCTACATAGAAGATGGCACTCATCTCTGTTGGAGATGAGTGACTGAGTATAGCACTCCGCTTTGGCAGGTGCTGTCAGTTTTCTAAAGTGGTTGTACCAATCTATACTCCACCAGTAGGGAACTGGCAGGCTTTGAGAATTCCACCATCCTGCCAAAACATGTGCTTTTCTGTATGCATAAGGATTTTATGGTGATTCTTCCCTTCCCTTTCCCCTCCCTCCCTAAGAGCCCTGGCTTTCAACTGATGTAAATATGTGCAATGCCAAGCACTGGAGTACAGACAAACAAGTCAAAGTCCCTGCTCTCAGAAGTTCCCAGCATGGTGGGTGGGACAAACCAGGAGAGAATTACTTTCAAAACAGATATTTGCAATGATGGAAGTGGTGTGAAGCACAGAGGTCGTGTATTGGAATGAACAACCTTCCCGTAGGTTTCCTGAAAGAGGCAATTTCAGTTTTTAAACAATTTGGAACAATCTTGTCATGTATTGAAGTTGTATACTTAGTGATGTTTTCAATTTAACAGCATTTTTTCTGATGTTAAGATTTACACTAGACCTATTTGGAAATCAAAGTAGAATTTAAAAAATTAAAAATCACCTGAAATCTCACTGGTCAGAATAAAGAGCTGTTAGATGTTACAAGTGAGGTATTTCTTTCAAGCTCCCTGCCCCCCATCTCCACTCCCTGGCAAGGTGAGTTTTTAAAAAGCGAGGTAGAAGAAGAAAGGGGTAAAAAAGCACAGACGAAGCTGTTGGATGATGTGTGTAGTGAATGCTGGGTATTTGTGGGACGGAGTGGCAGCATCCCTCGCTTCTGGACTGTAAAATATAGTATGTACTTTTTTTTTACTCAGTAGGCATTTTTTTTATTCTTTAGAAAGTGCTTTGAATATGCAGAACAAGTGCTTTATAAATAGGAGCAACAACCAGGAGACAAACAGGCACACAGGAAAGCGCGGCTCCCTGCCCCCCCTGCAGGTGTCTTCTGGGGCCAGGATGAGGCTCAAGGTCTGCAGCCTTAGCCCAGCGGCCCTTTCCTTATCTCTCAGGACTCTGTCTCAAGAACAGTGTGCACCCCTGCTATATCCCACACTGACCAAGTGGTCATTTTTCTCTTGGTGTCGGTGGAGACCATCATTTCCCAGTGCTTTAAAAATCCCTCCTCTTCCAGCAATGTTTATACACAACAGGGTTAGTACACTTCTCAGTCGCCAGTGGGATCACTTGAACTTTTCTGCACAAAAATTGCCTTTTGATCTTCATGGATGACCACAATTTAAAAACATTCTTCTGCCATTTATACATGCTCATTTTAGGCAATTTGGAAAATTCAAAAAAAATTTAAATAAATAAAAGGAAGAGGAAATAATCATTCACAGTCCTACCACTTGGAGAAAACCACAGTTAAATTTTTGGCATATTTCCTTCCAGTCTTTTTTTTAAATGAATTTCATTTAACTATTTTTAAAAACAAATTATTTTTAACGGAGGTAATATTAGGGTATCCTCATCGGTACGACCATCACCAGTTCACCCAAACCCCATCACCATTGACCATTGTGTTTCCTCCTTTCTTTGTTCTTCCCCCTCCCCCCCCCTGCCCCCCCCCCCCCGCGTGTCTCAGTTCTCTGTCACATATCAGGGATTAGTTTGTCAGCTTGTCTTTATCTGACTATTAGTTTAGTTACTTTATATTCTACATGTGAGTGGCACCATCTGATATTTTTCTTTTTTCCTTCTGACTTATTTCACTGAGCACAATCCCTTCCAGCTTCATGTTGCAGCAAATGACATGTATTTATCTTTTTGATCACTGAATAATATTCCATTATACATATATGCTACATTTTCTTCACCCTCTTATCTATTTGTGGGCATTTGGGTTGTTTCTACATCTTCCCCGTTGTAAATAGTGCTATAATAAACACAGGCGTGCAGGTGTCCTTTTGAAATAATGTTTTTGTGACCTTTGGGTAGATTCCTCGTAATGGATTGCTGGGTCATATGGTAGATCCATTTTTAGTAATTTGAGAGTCCTCCACACAGCTTTCCATAGTGATTGGATCAACCTACTATGGGTTGTAGACCCCCAGCGATGTAAAAGGGTTCCTTTTTCTCCACATCCCCTCCCTGCTGGCAATTTTGATGTCTTCCCTGGTGAGGCGTCCCTTTAATTCCTTTGCCCATTTTTTAATTGGGCTATTTGTTTTGTTTTTGTAGTTTTATGAATTCTTTGTGTATCTTTGGTATCTGTTCTTTGTACAGATGTAAGCTGTACAAACATTTCCTCCTATTCAGGAGGGTGTCTTTTCATTTTAGCTATCATTTCTTTCTCTGTACAGTAGCTTGTCTGATGTAATCCTAGCTGTTTATGTTCTTTTTTGTTTTCCTTGCTGTTCGGCATGTTTCCATAAAGTTACCACTAAAACTTACGTCATGAAATGTCTTGTCTCTGTTTTCTTCTATGTAAATAACCTTCTTTTTAAAATTATAAAGGTAACATCTCAACACAAAAGGAAATTCAGAAGGAAATGACGAAAAGATAATAAAAACAGTCAGTTGTAATGTTACCCTGGAATGTCACCTTTCCAGCTAATGTTCTGTTTGTCATTCCTGCAGTTTTTAATATCTCTCTCCATAAATGAAAGCTCCGAAAGAGAAGGCAGCAAATATAGCCACCTTGCAAGAGCAGACGTAGGGTCCTTGTAAGAAAGAGTGGACTCCGCCTTGTCCCTGACATGCATGGAACGCAGGAAATTAAAAGGCTGAAGACTGACATTCTAGAATAGTGTTCAAGGTGTGGTCCCCAACTGGCAGCAGGAACATCCAGGGAGCGTCTAGACATTCAGTGAGCACCAATGGTGGGCGTGGGGTTAGAGTGGGCCAGGGGGTGTGTGGCTCTGTCCTAACAAGCCTTCTAGGAGTTTCGGGTGCGTGGTACAGATTGAGAAGTGCTCAGCAGGAAGCCTGAACTCAGATGAATTGAAAGGGGGGTTTCCCCTGGGGAATGGGCAGGAATAACTTTGCAGCATGGAACTTGTGTTTGTTCAACTTGGTGTCATCAGTCCTCCTGGGGGGGATCATAGGGGTGCATCCAGTGCCCATGCCCCACTGGCCGGTAACAGGCACTCAACAAATCAAATCCACCGTGAATGAATCAAAGAAAGAATAAGTGAATAAACACATGAACTTTGAAGCTGTGGTCCACATGTCTTTTTTTTTTTTTCCCCTAGGCTTGGAGCGCCCGTTAATATCCACTGACCCCTGACCTCTGCCAGCCCACGTCTTCCCACCCACCTTGTCTGTACATCCGGACTCCAGAGAGAAAGCAGGTCTCGAAGAAAGCCATGATTTCACCATTCTTAGTGCTGGCCATTGGCACCTGCCTCACCAGCTCCTTAGTACCAGGTAGGACTGGGCGCACAGGTGAAGGGACGGGGGGATCTGGTGCCAGGGAAGAGGTAGGACAGGGCAGCGTCTATGTTCAGAGTCAAACAGTCAAACAGTATTTGAGAGCTGTCTGCTACCCCACCTGCGCCCCTCCTGTTAACCTAGCCTCTAATTGTGGTTTCCAGTCTCTTATCTCTAACAACCTGGACTCTACCAGGCCATCAGGGCTCCTGAGTCCGGCTTGGGTCTGTGGGACTCCCCGGAGGCGGCCTGAGGCCTGGATGCAGCCTGCAAATCCTCTTCTGCAGGGGCTGGTACAGGCCTTTGCTTCCTGCTAGAAACACTCAGGGAGGTGTTTCTGCAGCGCAGGGCTGGGTTGGATTCTTGATGACATAAACTTTGATGTTAATTTCTCAGCTTGTGCTTCTTATGCTCCGAATTCAGCCCCCTCCTTAAGACCTGGCTCCGATTCGGAGCAGAGGTCGCTTGGAGACCGGCTTCCCCCCACCCTTCTGCCGCAGCCCCAAGATACAATGTGCTCATAAAACAGGCCCAGGCTGCGAATCCTCTGACACCCAGGACCCTCGGCCGCTCCCATTTACTTCTGGTTTGAAGTCCCTTTCGATTTCTGCCTTCTAGGGACTCCCCCTTCCTCTTTGTTTCCCTTTTCCAAAAAGCTAGTTACCACCTGTGATGCCTTTCCCGCTGGCATTTTGGTGTCCAGTCTGAGAGGGGAGCTTGGCGCTGTGTCTGTGAAGTGGCTGGAAGTGCCCGCTGCCCTCTCCTGGGCCAAAACTTCCCCTCTGCCCCATGGATAGCACAGTTCCTCCCCCTTGGGGCTGCAGTGGGAATGACATGGAGCAGTCACCATGTCCAGTGGAAGTGGGTGCTCTTAGGAAGAACAAATTTCAACAGATGAGGAAACCAGGGTGCAGAGAATGGACCGACCTTCCCAAACCCCACAACACACCTGCGGGGGTCCCAGGTCACTCTGCCTCTGCGATCCCATGAGGCCCAGCGGGGTGTCCTGCTTTCTCAGCTCCCACATTCCCCTGGGTGAAAGGTGAGCTGAGGGCTGGAAAGACGGAGAAACGACGCAATGAACAATCTTCACTATTCAGCTGCTTCCCCCGTTTCTCTGTAGCCTTTCTGGGTAGTGCCTTCTCCCCACCCTTTCCAAAACTAGACATAATGTACAGCAATGTGCAAGAATCTCAGATGTTTCACTCGATGAGTTTTACATATTCTTATTCCGATGTGACCGCCAGCAAGAAGGAACAGGTCCTGTCGGGGACGCCAGAGGCCTCCGGTACCCCTCGCACCACCACACCCCCATGTCAAAGGAGGTGACTGAGCTTGCTCCTGTCCCCATCCACTAGTTTTGCTGGTCTGGAACCTCATACAAATGGGGCCGTCCAGCGGGCGCTGCTGACCTGTGCCCCGGCTTGACCACTGAGATCCGCACAGGCCGCTAACAGGCTCAGGAAGCAGCGGCCTTCCAGATGCTCGCCTTGCTGAAACCAGCCCTCGCACAATGCCAGCTAAGCCCTTCTCAGGAGCAGGCGCTGGGCGACTCCACTGAGAGGGGCCAGGGGTCTGCTCAGGGCAATCTAGCAGGAGGCCAGGTCAGGGCGCACCTGGTAAGGCCGTCAGAGCTCCTGTTGAGAAAGGCCAGGTGCGGGGCAGGATGTCAGCCCAGCCCCAGGGGTGCGGTGGGGGCCTGCCCGCTGCTCGGGTGGAGGGCAGGGTGGGCAGGAGCCCGTCACCACCCGATGGCCACAGAAGCCCCTCGACCGAAGCCTCAGCGGCATGGGGTGGGGGCCGGTGGTGGGAACCGGCGCTGAGCCAGTGGGCAACGGGCCACGGGCCCGGGGCGTGCCCGGCTCAGCTCACGTCCTCCCGAGTCTGCCCTTGGTAGCGGGATTCTCCTGGGGCGGAAACTGGCATGAAGGAACTGCCTGCACACAGCTGGCGACAGGGCCGCTCTCCAGCCTCCAGCAGGACTTTGCCTGGGAGGTCCGAAATCCATGTGCTCAGCAGACCCCGTGGGAAGAAAGAGGTGGTGCGGGGGGCTGCCAGGGTGAAGGTGGGGGCTAAGGAGTGGGCGTGGGCGTGATGTCAGGGCAGCCTTGCGGGGAGGAGTGTGGCATGTGGCGGGTCCAAGGGTTCTTTCCGTCCCCGGCCCGTGCGCCCACGGCCAGGGGTACAGCCACGTGGCGTGTGGGCTCCCAGTTCTGCTGCAACGCCAGGACCCTCAGTCTCTTCATTTCCTCATCCGCTGGGATGTGTGCGTGCACACACAGCACCTCGCTCTCCCCCCACCGCTGGAAGGCCTGAGCTGCGTCAAGAGATGAGGACTGTGCCCCAGGCCCGTGCACAGACAACGTGATCTCGGACAAGGCCCGCCTCGGCCACCCCTCCTGGGCCATGGGCGGCCTCTGAACGGGAATCCCCACAGGGACCCCATCTGGGGCTCCTGTGCCCCCATGGGCAGGTGTGACAGGGCCCAAGGCCCGCAGTGGGAAACGCTGACCCCATGGACAGGGGATTCTGGGCCTCCTCTTGGAAGAGAAAAGGCTTCCGGGAAAGGCGATGGGATTGTGGGGGCGTGCGCCTCTCCCATAGGTCAGGTGTGTCCACTTAGTCCTCATAATGATTCTAAGAGGGTCCCCTAACTCCGGGGATGAAACCAGGCTGTGAGGGGTGACTGAACCCACAGCAGCTACTTGGCACAGCTGCGGCTTCCATTAGGGTCTGTCGCCCGCTGAAGCTGTGTTCTTCGCAAGGGAGGATTGATGACTGGGCACTCGAGGGCGAGGGAGAGAGCGGAGAAGGCGGAGAATTCCTTGTTCCCTTTTATCTCCAGATTAGGGCTGCAGAACGTCCTGTTTGCTAAGTGATCCAAACAGGAGTCAGATCAGCCTTGGCTACTTTAAACTTGAGCAGGAAACAAAAGCAGGGCGGCTCCCAGCGTTGCCATCATCCACACTGCCACTCAGCCAGGTCCCGCCGAACCGCCTGACCTGTAAACAAGCCCAGCTGAGTTTATAATTGATGTCTGGGTGCCAGTCGCTTGTTCTCAGCAGTGGGTTAAACATTACCCTGCTAATTGTGCTGGGGAAACTCATTCGCGGCTGTAACAGAATGTCTCTGCCAGGTAGAAGGAAAGAGCACGGGCTTTGGCGTGAAGCCCAGCTCTGCCAGGGCCTGCCAGTGCTGTGTGGTCTTGGGCACCTTGCTTGGTGTCTCTGGGACGCGTGTCTTCCGTCTGGGACATGGGGAGAAGCACGAGGACCCACACGTGTGTCTGAGGCTTGGACTGGCTCACGGGAGGGACAGCCACTGCTCCCTCCTGCCTTCTGCCACGGGAAGTTGGGGTAGCTGTAAGTCTGGGGGTGGGAAACTGTCGCCACCCCCTGCCAAATACCTCTGCCCCTCTCTCTGTACAGAAAAAGAGAAGGACCCCAAGTACTGGAGAGACCAAGCTCAGCAGACCCTGAAAAATGCCCTGAGGCTTCAGACGCTCAACACCAACGTAGCCAAGAACGTCATCATGTTTCTGGGCGATGGTGATGCCTGGGGGTGCGAGGGAGGGGGGTAGGTGGTAGGGAGGACCCCGCAGAAGTGAAGGGAGCTGTGCTAAAGGGGTTGGGCCCAGGGGCATGTTTAAGAGGATGACGGGCCACATTGAGAATCCAAGAAGTCTGCTCGGCCAGGCAGCCCCTCGGAGGTCTGAGGAGGGAGGAGAGGGTCTCATTGAAGGAGTCATTCTCTGGCGCCCATGGGCCCGCCCACTTTGGCACTTGACTAGAGAGTCCTGGGTGCTCTAGAAGGCTGATTGGAGAGGCAGGGACCCCGAGACTGAAGCTCCCACCCCTGCGGCAGGGATGGGCGTCTCCACAGTGACGGCCGCCCGCATCCTCAAGGGTCAACTCCACCACAACCCCGGGGAGGAGACCAGGCTGGAGATGGACAAGTTCCCCTATGTGGCTCTCTCCAAGGTGAGCTCTGGCCCCAGCCCCCACTCTGAGCTCGGCAACCTGGAGGTCGACGGGGGTGGTGTCCTCTCCAGCCTGCCCCTCTGTGAAATGACGACAGCAGCAGCTACTTCTAAGACTTGGGCGGTTTCAGCACACTGATTTTAAAGACTCGGTTGAATAGAACATAGAGAGAAAAGCACACAGCTTGAATGCCACAAGCCGCACCTGTCTGTATAACCAGCACCCAGGAAGAGAGCGTGAGAGCGGCCAGAGATTCCCCAGAGCCCCCTCGGTCCCCCACGACCCCTGTGTGTGTCCCGCCTTTGTGCTCTCCCAGGGCTATTCGGGAAGTTGCTTCCATGATGGTGTAAGGTTGAGGCTGGGGAGTGAGGGTTGGGGGGAGGTATCGTCATTCCCAAGGCTGTGGGGTTGCTGGTGGTCTGTCACCCATATCCTGAGGACACTCCAGGCTCAGGCTCATAGCAGGGTCTGGGATGTTCTCTGTGCCTTCAGGGAACTCTTAGTCTGAGGTGAGGGAGACAGGCAGGTCTCCACTGGAGTTCTGAGGTTGGGGTGACTATACAGGGAATGGGTACCAGCCTCTCACTCCAACCCGGGCTTTCTCTCTACCCACCACACCCTGCCTCCTCCCACCACTGCCCTGTCCTACCCCCTCCATTCTACCAAGAACCCCCCTCTCCTTTCCCCAGGATCACGTGCCTCTCCGCCCCCTCTGTCGCCCCCACCGTCACTGACCCAGCCCCCACTTCTCTTCCAGACTCACCTCACAGGCTATAGAGCTGTGTTTTCCCTTGCAGCTGCCCTAGCCACCCCAGGGGGCGGGGGTGGGGCTGGGAAGCAGGTACTGGGTGAGCTTGTGGCTCTGGTGGGGGGCACAGCCAGAGGACAGGACTCAGCCAAGGCTGGAGGGGGTCCTGTGTCTCCTGGCTGTCCCGTGGTGTGAAGGAGGGTGGGGTGGGCGGCCAGAAGGGCCGAGGCCTGACCCTCCCTCCCACTGCAGACCTACAACACCAACGCGCAGGTCCCTGACAGTGCGGGCACTGCCACTGCCTACTTGTGTGGGGTGAAGGCCAACGAGGGCACCGTGGGGGTGAGTGCGGCCACTCAGCGATCCCAGTGCAACACCACCCAGGGGAACGAGGTTACCTCCATCCTGCGCTGGGCTAAGGACGCTGGTGAGTGAAGGTGGTGGCCAGAGGGGACTCTGAGGCCGGCTGGCCTGCTGCTTCTCAACTGCACAGTAGGGCAAGGGAGGAAAAGATACTGTTCTGGGCTCGTATAGCTACGATGTTCTGGGAATACAATGTTCATGGAAACCCTTCCACGTCAGGGAACTAGGGGCGTGGGGGATTCTCAGGGAGCTTTCTGGCCCCTGAGTTTACCCATTAGAATTCTAAGTGGCCATGAACACGCAGCTCCCTTTAGATTTGATGTGAGGAAGGTGAAGGGCCTGGCTGGGTGCCAGCCCAGGGGGTTCAGGGAAGGCCTACTCCTCCGTGCAGTTGAGAGGCCTGGCATGAGCCCCAGGAATTCTGGCGCAGGGTTGTGAGGGTGACTCACACTGGTGACAGAACCACAATCCAACCAAGATCCCTTACAGGGGTCCCTGCGTTCTTGCAGAGTATGTGGTTGGAGTGGGGGGTGGGAGGGCTCCTGCAGGAGTGGGATTCTGAGGAGTCCTGATGGTGGGAAGGACCCAGCCCAGGTGGTTATGGTTATAGCTCAAAAACCCTGGGGAGTGTGTGTGGGGGGGGGTGGATAGGGGCAGGGGTGAGGGGGTGGAGATGGTAGTTCTGAGCTACCATAATATTTGGAAGCCACCACCCCTGAGTTAATGGGGTCACTGGGACCCAGGCAGAAGTGGCTGACAGGCCAGTAGTGAGCTAGAAGAGGGAGGGAGAAGACAGCTTACATACTCCCATCTCCAGACAAAGCCCCTCTTCCACGCCCCAGGGAAATCTGTGGGCATAGTGACCACCACTCGCGTGAACCACGCCACCCCCAGTGCCTCCTACGCCCACTCTGCTGACCGGGACTGGTACTCGGACAATGAGATGCCCCCAGAGGCCCTGAGCCAGGGCTGCAAGGACATCGCCTACCAACTCATGCACAACATCAGGGACATCGAGGTGAGTGGGGGGACGGACAGATGGACGGGCTTGTGACACGGGGCCTGTGGGACTGAGGCCTCAGGTCGAGGCTGGTCTGGGAGAAGCAGCTTGGCGTGGCTCCCTACACACCTGGGAGGGCTCCCAGCCCATTAGGGGATTTGTGGTTGGGGCAGAGAGACTCTGTAGGATTTCTCTGAGGTGGGGCTGAGGGATAAATCCTGATGTGGTCACCACCACACCCGAAGAACCAGGCGCCCAGGGACTATTCTATAATTGGAACTGGGCACTGCATACCCCCCCAACAGGGGGAGGAAGGGGTGCATCTGTGGGGAGTACCTGCCCCACACATCCCCAAGTGTCCTGCGCATGCAGCTAGCATGCCCAGAGAAAAGGTGGTGTAGACAATGGCTCATGCCAGTTCTCATTTTAAAAACTTGGGTTCAAATCCTTGCCATGCTGTTTACTAGCTGTTTAACCTTGGACCAGTTACTTAACCTTCATAGCCCTCTGTGAAATGCACCCACCTCGCAAGGACTTTGCAAGATCTGGGTAGAATAATCCCTGCAGTGCTTGGCACAGGGCCTGACCCTAGTGCGTGCTCAGAACATGGAAGAATCATGCGTGAGCCACACGTGCCTGCCTTCCAAGGCGAGCGTGGGCACCATGGAGCACATAAAACCTGGGCAACAACCCGATGCCACATGGGTCCCTCTGTGTTCTCCAAGGAGAACCTCTGGTTTGTTCCTTTTCCAAGTGAAGCGCCGGTGAGGAGATTGAGCCTCTGTCTAGAATGGGGGTTCAGCGAGGCTCAGATGAAGCTCCCAAGCCCCATTTACCCTCATCTGTTTCTACTCCCACCAGACGTGGGTTCCCAGAAGCCCCATCCCCGGCCCCCAAGTTTCTGAGTGCCACAGTCCCTTCTTCCCACCCACTCACTCCCTTTCCTGAGACAGGGATCAGACACCCCCTTTCAGGACCAACAGTCCTGTGACCTCTCCTAGCAAGGCAAGCCGCTGTCCTGACTTACGCCTGTCCTGGGCACATCGATTCTCCTCCCTGGGCCTCAGTTTCTCTACCTGTGCCCCAAGAACAGAAAGCCCCCACCCCCAACTGTTCTGAGGCCGCTGGAGGCCACGATGAGGTCATGGATGTGAGAACATTTGTTGTACAAGCACAGGGTATAATTACAGGGCTGCTCCTCAGAGAGATTTGGCAGGAACAGCCCGAGATGGGGGGACAGGAACTTAAGGGAAAACCGAGTAGAGGGAGACTTCTCAGGCTGGGGTGAGGGGAGGGAGAGGGCTCCTGGGGTGCCTGGAGGCAAGATCTGAGGTGTGCGTGAGGGAGGCGCCTCCTGCCTCCCTCTCTCCTGCTCATCCTCTTCCTCCACCTCTGCCCTGCATCAGCACCACCCCAAAGCCCCCCAGTCCCCAGACTGTACATGAAACAAAAATCTTGGTGTCCCGCCCTGAAAATAAATATCTTTAGCTGAAAAAAAAAAGAAAGACACAAACCCAAACCCTAAAGTCAAACAGCAAGTCTGTTATTTGGAGTTTAATGAGCCCGTGTGAAGTCCCTGTTGGGCCTGGAAATGATGAGGCTCCCGGCATGAAGATTGGGGGCTTCACTTTCCACTCTGAACATGCCAAGGGGTCAGGTTCTGTGGGAACAATGGTGGGGGCAGGGGCCAGTGACCTTCTCCCGGCCTGCCCTGCCCCCAGCGCTCCGGGTGGGCCGCAGGGAGGCACTTGCCTGTGGGAATCCTTTGATGTGGGCTCCCGGCCTCCCCCAGTGCCCACCCCGGGGTGCCTGGGCGACCCTCCCCCTTGCGAGCCTGCTGTAACATCCCGTGGGCGGCTGTGATGCCCACGTATAGTTGGGGGCCCTCGGTCCCTGGGAATGAGTCCACGCCCTCCGGCCCTCCCTGACCCCGGGGTACCTTTCCCACCTGCCGGACCCCCGCCCCCCAGCCCCGCACAACTAGCCTCCGTGGGAAGTGGAGCGGCGGGTAGCGGAGGGGCCGAGGCCGGCCTGGGTGCGGAGGGGTCCGGCCCGCCCTAGCAAGCTCTGCCCGCCCCAGGTGTCAGCCAGGGGCGGCGGCCTCCGCTGACGCCCTCGGTGACAGGAGGACACCGGTGTGGTGGTCACCGCAGGCGGCGGCTGTTATGCTCTTGGCTCCTGTTTTAAAAATAGTCAGGACTTCAAACATGGACTCCCAAGGAAAACAAACAGTCCCACGTCCGTCCGCCCGCGCATGCCAGCCACCGTGGGTAAAATTAGCCCGGTGGGGACGACACAGGCCGGGCGGCTTGCGCTGCTTGCCCGGCTCCCAGCTGGACAGCCTGGGCCTCCCTGGCTGCGGCCTCCTGCCCGCGGGCATCTGTGGGGACAGGAGACTCTTGGAGTCCCGTCCTCGGCTCTGCAGGAGCGGTAGGGTTCTGGTGCCTGGGTCAGAGGGGCCAGGTTCGAATCCTGGGTCTGCCACTGACTGGCTTGGTGGTGTTGGGGGCACAAAATCACATTTCTGAGTCCATTTCTATATCTGGGAAATGAGTGTCACCGGCTCTCCTGAAGCCTTCGCAAGAGGTTGGAAGAGAAAGTCTCCCAAGGGCTTCATGCCCGACACTGGGGGGCGTGGGGGTCTCCGTAGCTGGCGTTGATCGTCCGCAAGTGGAGTTATGTGTCAGGCAGAGGATGTTAGCTGTAGCTCCCATATTCCACCCAGAAGCCCCAAACCACCCTCCCCCCCAGACCTGTGGTTTTCCTCTGTCCAAGTTGGAACATGAGCTCACAGTGGACGGCGTGACCTGAACTGGACTCCACATGCTGGTGAAGTAGCCACCCCACCCTCAGGCCTCCCAGCTCTCCAGTGGGGTGAAGGGGGGCTTGGTACTATGATACTGAAGGCTTCTGTCCATGTCAGGTGATCATGGGGGGCGGCCGGAAGTATATGTTCCCCAAGAACAGAACCGACGTGGAGTATGAGCTGGACGAGAAGGCCCGGGGCACGAGGCTGGACGGCCTGGACCTCATCAACATCTGGAAGAACTTCAAACCTGGACACAAGGTAGCCGGTCTGCAGGTCCCTCAGGGTGGGGTGAGCCCTCTCCAAGTCTGTTTATTCCTTTGTAAAATGGGGGTCAGAGCTGTTACCTCAGTGGGCTCAGTGAGATGTGTGTGAACGTCACGTGGTAGGTGGTCAGCTCCTTCTGGAAAGGCCCCAGAGAAGTAGGCAGTACAGCAGGCGGTGGGTCAGCGCAACATGGACATTCAGGACATTCATGGACATTCACGGACATTCAGTCCGCCTGAGCCCCTGCCGTGTGCGGGCCCTGCACCGGGCGCGAGAGCTACAGAACAGGTCGGTGCAGGTGGCAGAAAGCCGAGGCCCACGGAAGCTGGCAGAGGGAGAAGCGAGTGGAAGGCGCAGAGTCTCTGGCAGGCCGGGCGGCGGGCGGGCATGTGCCAGCTAGGGTGTGAGGCCCTCCGCCGTGAGTTGGCTTTGGCCTGGACTGGGGAAGGGCTTGGCCTCTGGCCCTTTAAATCTGTGCTGCTGGCCACTGGGCTGGGGCAGCTGGGGTCTGGAAATGGCTGTGGTCAGTGCTGAAGACAGTGGGGAACAGCCCGGCCGCCACTTTGATGTCACGCTGGGGTTGGGTTTCTGAGGGTTCCAGGCCTGGCCCCGGGGGAGGCCTGGTGGGATAGGGCCTCGAGAGCAAGGTTGGGGGGGCCGGGCAGGGCCCCCAGGGCTGGTGGGGTGGGGCCAGGCCACTTTGATCCTTTTCCAGTCCTCTGACTCAGCACAGGCTGGACCAGTGCGCCTTCCCTGTCCAAGTTGGGGCATGGCCCCTCCCAGCCTCAGTTTCTCTCTGTGGAACATGGGGGCAGAGCTTACTCCTCTGGCCCTGGCAGGGTGGAGCTAATTCTAGACCCCAAAGGGAGAGAGAAGTCCAAACCCCTGGACTGGACGGTCTGAGGGGCATCTGTTCCTGAAATGCTCGTCCTGGGAGTCATAAATGGAACCACAGCACCTCTCCTGGAGGCTTGGTGTGAGGGCTGCGGGAGACGGCACCCGCAAGCCAGCTCAGGGAGGCGATCAGTGAAGGGGAGCCTTAGCTGCACTTCTTAGCTTCCCTACGCTCCTTCCCCCAGCAGCCCCGACTTTGGCAAGCGCTGAGCCCAAAGCCATCGCCAAAGCCACTGCCAGAGCAGGCGAGGGGCCTCCACAGGACACTCAGGAGATCCCAGCTAGTGCCGGGACCCCCGCCCAGGCCCCGACAGTGCTGCTTCCTGGCAAGTGGGCTGGCCTCCCCCTGCGGCCTCTGCACCCCAAGGAAGCAGCAGTTCCTTATTAGACCCCTTGGATGCCCCCCCACCTTGGATGGGCAGAGCTAGGGCCTCACTCGCCCCCCCAGCTCTCCACAGCGCCCAGAACGCACACACACAGGCACACATGCCCTCAGTGGACACCAAGTCCCCTTGTGACTTGCGCCGTGAGCCCTGTTACTTGCTAGAAATCCAGTTTCCCGACTTGAGACTGTTGGTCATCTGGGACCCCAACAGGACATCACCGCTGCCAGGAAACCTCCCTGGCCCCACCTCTGGGCTCCCGACACCCCTCAGCAGCTCATCCCTCTTCATTGGAATGATGTGTTTGCCATTGCTTGAGGGCAAGGACGCTGGGTCCTCAGGGGGCCTGGGGGACGGCTCAGTGGCCAGGGAAACAGCTGACACAGCGCTTCCTCCTAGCACTCTCACTACGTCTGGAACCGCACCGAGCTCCTCAGCCTGGACCCTGCCACTGTGGACTACCTCTTGGGTGAGTCGAGGAGCGGGGCCGAGTGGAGGGCAGCCCGTGGGTGCCCTGGGCTGGGTCTAGCCCCCAGGGAGGACGCCTCAGCCCGCCCCCTGCTTAGTACCTGCCCCCGGCTCTGGACCCAGGAGGGTGGGGCAGGGCTGTGGGTCACAGAATGAAGGCTGAAGTCAGCTGGTTGTAGGGGCAGAGGCCAGGGGCACAGACAGGGGCAGCTGGGGCTCAGAGAGGGCCAGCGCACCGTAGCATGTCACACAGCAGAGGAGAGTTGTGGTCGCGGCGGCTCTGCGCCCTGGCTGGTCAGGCACTTCCCACCCAGGTGGGTGCCCCGTGCTCAGCGCCTCACCCCTGACAGCTATCTGGGTGGTCTCTGCTGGTCTTGACTGGGCAGTGGGCCCTTCTCCCCAGGGAGTGGGGCACAGGTGATGGCCCCGCGGGCCCTGCACGTTGCGCCCAGCAAGTGATGGCAAAATGTCCTGTGTGCTTTCCCCACTGGGTATGTCCCTGGAGAGGGGGGCTGGGACCTGAGTGCCTGGAAGGCCCCCATCCCCCACCCTACCTCCCCATGACCCCTCACTCTCCCCCCCCACACACATGCAGAGAGCTCCACATTGCACTCGTGGCCCTGGAGCCCGGAGCACAGGGCTCGGTTCGAGCCCACTTCGCCACCAGGAGCGGCAGGAGCGGCGTGCCCCGGGCAATGCTCTCCTCTGCCTCGATTTCCTCTTCTGGAAAACAGGGGCGGTGACGCTCCTGTATAGTGGGGGTAATGATAGGGCTTTCGGTTTGTCGTGAGGATTAACCGAGCTACCGCTGTGCAGTAAATTCTCCCCAAGCTCAGCAGTTTGAGATAAGAGTAAACATTTATTACTCCACACAGTCCCTGTGGGGAGGGCGCTTGGCAGGGTCCCCCAGGAGGTCAGTCGCCTGGCAGGTGCTCTCCCGCCCGGCCCTGTGCCGGGGTTCCTGCCCCTGAGCCTCCCTCCCCATCGAGCTGGGGGCGTCCCCAGACACCGATAAGGGCGAGGCAGAAGCCGGCGGGGCGTCGCGGGACCTCCGCGGGGGAGGGGGCGAGGATGCACTCCGGGCAGCAGGGTTACTGGTCACCACCACGGAGGCTGTGCACTAGCCAGGGGACATCCAGAGCTGAAACCCCAACCGGGTCCACATGGTGGCGCGTGATGGGGCAAAGAATGGCTCCCTCATCTATTTTACAAGTGAGAAAACCCAGCTCAGGGAACAGGAGGGACAGTGACCCCAAACCTGCTGCTTCACTGCACAAGCACCTGCCCTGCAGCCTGGCAAGTGACCCGTCAGCATACACCCAGCTGCCCTGCAGCCCCGACACCGTCCCGGCCTGTCGTCATGTGTCAGGGGCCCTTGAGGCCGGGGCTAGACTGATGGGTCTGGATCCCAGATCTGCCACTTGGTGGCTGAAAACAGCTGGTCCCTGCACACCGTACCTCAGCTTCCCGCATCTGTAAGGTGGTGAGCCCCTTGCCATGGTGGGGCCTGCGCGGGTGGAAGGACGTGTACCCCAAAGCCCCCAGGACCGTTCAGGCCCACAACAGCAGCCAAGGAGCTTCTTCCCCCCTCTCTGCACCACGTTGTATGTGGGAAATCTGTTCCCAGAGACACGGGGCTCCTTGGGGGTCCGGCAGGATCGCGAACATGGACCCCCGCGTCCTCCTATGCCGCCTCAGGTCTCTTCGAGCCCGGGGACATGCAGTATGAGCTCAACAGGAACAACGTGACCGACCCATCACTCTCCGAGATGGTGGAGGTGGCCATCAAGATCCTCAACAAGAATCCCAAAGGTTTCTTCTTGCTGGTGGAAGGTAGGGCCCCAGGCTGGCTTCAGGGTCCCTTCCCTGGGAGCTTCCAGAGACCCCCCGGGCTCAGGGAACAGGCAGGTCAGGGCTCAAAAAGCATAGACGGGCCTAAGCAGAGGGGAAATCCCTCAGTTGTGGACTGGGGAAGAAAGGACTGATGCTGAAGCTTCTAGGCCAGCTGGCTGTTGTCCTCTGGTATGTAGATGGCGCCGAGCAGTCCAGGAGGCTCCCTGAAAGGGGCCACGGGTTTCCTTGTTCTGGTCCCTCCTGAGGCCCGGCTCTGGAAGGGCTTGCAGTCCCCATCAACTTCGCTTCACCAGAAACAAACTCTCAGATCCTCCCTGGCTCCCAACACTGCATGCTGACATTCACGGGGCTCCCTAGGGCTATGTCGAGGCCCCCGAGTTGACCTTGGGTTCTTTGCTAATGCTGCCGTCCTTGGGCCCCAAAACGTCCCCTTCCACAGGAGGGTTATGAGCATCCACTGCATTCAGAGACGTGAAATACTTGGCACAGGGCCCAGCCAAAGTAAATCCTGTTCCTATTATTAGCTATTATATAATCATAAAGTGCCAAGTCAGTAACAATAGGAAGTGTGAGGAAGTGCTAACGTTTCCGGAGTCTACCACAGTTCCAGTGGCTATTGTCCACATGGTTCCCGACGTTGCCCCACGGAGCTCTACGAGCACACACACTCCACTCTCACCACACGCACCCTCGGGCTCTCCACCCTCCACAGGCCAGCGGCCACCAGCCGGCCTAGTGTCCTTCTTGCCAAACCCCAGGGTTCCCACTCAAGCACGGCGGTCTCGGCCTGGCCCTGAACAGGCCTCTGACGCCGAGGAAGCGGCCAGAAACCAGCCGTGGTGAGCACAGGCTCCCTGGAGAGCTGTCCTCTTTGTGAGCAGGGCCTGGACTGGGCCCTCCAGGCCAACTGGTTCAAAGCCACAACAAAGGGCGGCCCACCCTGCCAGCCCGCCAGGCCCAGTGGGGAGGCTTTGCTCGCGGGCGGGGAAGACAGTGAGGCGCCCGGCTCAGGACCCTCAGAGCCGACAGTGTCCGCCAGGGAGCGTCTTCCCCTCAGAGAGGGAGGTGCTCCCTCAGGTCACATGGCCCTAAGCCATGACCTTTAAGCCAGGATTGTGGCCAGGCCCCCAGTGCTCCCTGGGGGAGGTGCCCTGGCATCTGGGCTTCCACAGGCCTATATGGAAGCCTGCCATGGACACTGCCCAGCACTGCCTGGGCACCGAGGGTTCCCCCACCCTTCCAGAGTGTGCTGTAGGTTCAGCTCAGAGGGTGTACTCAGAGTGGAGGCGGAGAGCAGGGTGTGTCAGTCACGCCAGAATTGCAGGGCATGTGAGTGACTCCCGCCTCGGGTAGCTCATGTCCCCACTCTAGGCCTCAGGTGCTTCACCTGTCAGTGGGGCTCATGGTGCCACCCCTGTCCGCTAGAGCTGCAAAGGGGAGATGAGACATCAGCTTGCCAGACCTGGCACTTGGCTGGTATTGCCCTCCCCTGACTCTGAGTTTCCTCAGGTGAAGATGTAACAGGAGCAGCGTGGGAGGGGAAGAGGCCAAGCGTTCCAGCCAGGTGGATCCGCTTTAAGACCTGGCCCTGGGCTGCCCATGCTGGGCCTTTGCTCCAGCAATGCGCCCTCTGGGTGGCTGTGAAGATTGAGGGCAGCGTGCCGTCCTGTGATAGGGCAGACCTGGGGGTACGGGTCTTCCATCCCCCTCATGTGAGGCCTTTGCCCTGGTGTCCCAAGGAGGCAGGATTGACCATGGCCACCACGAGGGCAAAGCCAAGCAGGCACTGCACGAGGCAGTGGAGATGGACCAGGCAATCGGGCAGGCAGGCACCATGACCTCCCTGGAAGACACGCTGACCATTGTCACTGCTGACCACTCCCACGTCTTCACCTTCGGCGGGTACACGCCCCGAGGCAACTCTATCTTTGGTAGGTGGGCCTTTGCTGGGGTGGACACTGGGCACTCCCGGGGAGTGGCCATCTAGGAGCAGGAGTGGGGTGAGAACCAGCAAGCCTGGGTGGGCACAGGTAGGACTGGAGAGAACTGGGTAGGGAGGAAGAGTTACTGACGGATGGGGGCGGGGGGACGCGGCCGGCTGTGGAGTGAGCTGAGTGCGTAGGTGGTACAGGCGAGGGTGGGTGGGTGGACAGAAGTGTGACCTGCTGCAGGTGGGAGGGATGTGGGCAAGTGAAACTGAGGATGGCTAGTTTGAAGGCAATCAGGCCCCACCGGGCTTTGCCCATGCCCAGCCCTACTGCAGGGGAGACCACGTCCTCCCCAAGAGGACGCACTCGCTGTGAACCTTCCAGGACTCCCAGGAAGTCCGCTCCTGGCACGGGTAGCCCAGCCCCAGGGTGGCTGGCTGGGAAGAGCAGCCTGGCAGGACTTCATAGAGGCGGTTCAGAGCTTTCAGGGGTTGCCACACTGCAGTCTGCATCCTGATGCTACAGTGTAACCCCTGGATCACTGTCCCCTGAGCAGGTCTGGCCCCGATGGTGAGTGACGCAGACAAGAAGCCCTTCACTTCCATCCTGTATGGCAACGGGCCTGGCTACAAGGTGGTGGGTGGTGAGCGGGAGAATGTCTCCATGGTGGACTATGGTGAGTGTACTGCTGAGACCCAGGGCTGGGATGGGGCCGGGCACCCTTGGGGATGGGCTTGGGAACAGACTGGAAGCGTGTGGTCAAGGTTAGGGATCTCAGAGTAGCCAGATGAATCGGAACAACCTCAGTCTGCATCCCCCTCTATGGTTTAAAAGCTCTGTGACCTGAGGCAGTTTCCTCCTTATAAGGGTTCTGCCACCTAAGGTTGTCTAAAGAACCAGTTGGGCCTGATGAGCTTAGCATAGTTCCGGCCCATGTAGGCACTTGCTATGTTACCGTCACTTTTACTGGCCGTGTAATATTCCGCGGAGGAAGCCATAGCAATTTGTTCACCATATCCATGCTGTTGACTGTTTTTGTATCCCTAGTGCCTGGGGGCTAATGCAGAAGCCAGTGGTAAGAGGGGCCCCTGGGGTGACTCTTACACATCTGGACAGCCCAGATGGGGTTGATTTTCTCTCTGAGTTGAAAGTACAGGCTTCCGTGTCAGAGCAGACTGGGGTCTGAATCCCACGGCCTGGCGCAAATGACTTCCCCACGCCGAGCCCCAGTCTCTCCTACGAAACGGGGCGTGTGAGGCGGCTTGGAAGGGGCACAGTGAGGCTGCTCTGTGACACAGGTCCGGGCACATTCTCAGCAAGTGTTGCTCCTGCCCGCAGCTCACAACAACTACCAGGCACAGTCTGCTGTGCCGCTGCGCCACGAGACCCACGGCGGGGAGGACGTCGCCGTCTTCGCCAAGGGCCCCATGGCGCACCTGCTGCACGGCGTCCACGAGCAGAACTACATCCCCCACGTGATGGCTTACGCCGCCTGCATCGGTGCTAACCACGACCACTGTGCCTCCGCCAGCTCAGCCAGCAGCGCTTCTCCAGGTCCCCTGCTGCTCCTGCTGGCCCTGCTCCCCCTGAGCATCCTGTTCTGAGGCCTGGCGCCTGGGCACCCACTAGCCGTGACAGAGGGCAGCCTCCCTCTCCCAGCACTACCTAGCTGCCCGACCTCAAGGGGCGGGGAGGCGGAGGCCTCTGGAGCCTCTGCAGCTGCCAGAAAGGAGACCTAGGACACCAAAGTCCACTGCCTGCCTCACCCCCTCTGGAGTCGTCTGCCAGGTCCTGGCCTGCAGCCTCTGGCCCCTTCCCACCGTCCCTTTGACCAACAGGGTAGGTCTCTTTTGGGCAGGCAGAGCAAAGACTGCAGACATTCTCAAAGCATCTTATTTTTCTAGCAAATATATTTCTCCAGACTTGGAGGCCCTGAGCTTCCATGGAACATCCTGGATCTCACCCTCCCACTCCTCCTCTCCTTCCCTCTGGAAGCCGCCAGGCCCCACCAGGCTTTGCCCACGCCCAGCCCTACTGCAGGGGAGACCACGTCCTCCCCAGGATGGGGGTTTGCTCACTCACTCGCTGTGAACCTTCCAGGACTCCCAGGAAGTCCGCTCCTGGCTCGGGCAGCCCAGCCCCAGGGTGGCCGGCTGGGAAGAGCAGCCTGGCAGGACAGACGCTTCCTGCTCTGAGCACACATGCCAGCTCCCCTCTGAAGTGACTCTCCTGTTTGGGACAGCAAAAAAATTTTCTCTTTTCGGTGTTGGTTAAAAGGGAACACAAAACATTTCAATAAAACTTTCCAAATATTTCTGAGGACAGAGTCTTTGTGGTCAGGGAGGAAGCCACTGAAATAAGCTCATCTCTTTGGGGAGAGCTGGGCTAGTCCCAGGGGAGCAGGTGGGTGGGCGGGGGGGAGGGGCCTTTGGGGAGCTTCACTGCTCCACCTGGATGACTTGGGGCAAATTGCTTGAGCTCCCTCCTGCCTTCCGGTTTTTTGTCTGTAAGATGCAGAAGGCCCAGTTGCTGCAAGGGTTGAGAAGCAGGAGGGCCTTCGGGGGGGCCCCCACAAAGCCCTCACTGCTCTGTGCCCACAAACAGCAGGATATATGCTCACTCATTCCTTTACTCCTCAGTCATACCAAGAGCACTGAGTTGGCTGACACCGTTCTCAGTCTTAAAACGGTAACGGTGGAGGCCAGACATTCTCTTGCCTTCAACCCAGCAGGCCATTGTGATCGTCTGTCCGGTCCTAATTGCAAGTCTGGCTGCTGGACTCAAGATTACCCCGACACTGGAGTCACCAGAACGCCCAAGTCTCCTCCTTTCCCCGCGTGGAGTGAAAGTCCCCATAAGAAATGGGGCGATGACCCTTGATCATTCGCCATCTGCCGTACTCTGATCTTAACGCTTTCTTCATCCCCGCTGGGAAGCAGACCCAGCCACAGCACAAGAGGGAGGATGAGGATGTGGGAGGTGAAGAGATTGCTCGAGGTTCCCCACGGTGAGGGGCTGGGATCTGAATGCTGGTGTCCCAGCTACAGCCCCCTCCTACACCAATGACTTCCTTTATTTGTTATAAGGCATCTCCAGCCTCCCGCCAGCCAGGATGGAGGCAGCCAATGCCAATGACTCACAGCATGTGGGGGCTGGGGGGACTCAAGGAGGGGGAGAAGCTGTCAGAAGTGGGACATCCTTCAGGAATGGAAGTGGCAGTGCGGATTTGCCCCCGAGTTTCCTGGCAAAGGGAGGCACAGCCAAGCTTGTCCCTGGGTACAGACTCAAAAACACAGGCTTACACCCGTATTCCCGACACCTTGCCTTGAACTGTACCACATCGTGTTTTGGGGTGATGCCTCCGATTTCTCTCTTGTCGCTGCAGTGTTATTTCAACACTCCTTTGAGTTCACATTTAAGCAGTCAATTTTTAAAAATTCAGCAATGGACGTGCCTCAGGATGGGTTTCCTAAGGCAGAGCTCTGAGTGCAAGTGGCTTGTAAAAGGAACTCAGGAAAGCACCAGGTGGAGAAGAGGCACGTGAGAGAAACAGGTGAGGAAGGCTGAGTCGCTCAGGTTGCCTGTCGCCACTGTACATGAGGGTGCGAAGCCACACCAGGGGAGGGGCAGCGGACTCCCCTCAGAGTCATCCCACCCTGGGGCCATGGAGCGGGGGTGTTTATTCTCCAGCACTCATCCTTCCTTAGCTAAGGGTTGTTCCCAGGCCGATGAACCCCTGGCCCCCAGCCCCACTTGTAGGGCCCAAAGGAAGCCCCCCAGGCATGTGCTGGGATATTAAATGTGCAAGGACACAGCGGGGTGCCGGTGTCTCTGTTCAACCTGAGACTCGCTGAAGGCCCCAGGCTGTGAGTGACAGACGGGATTCACGTCCGCCCTTTGCTTTCTCGTTGCTATAAACTCGGGAAACTTCTGTGACGTGGCTGATATTCAGTGCTAGGGCTGAATGTGGAGTAGCCAGGAGTGGCCGGCAGTGTCCACGGAGTGTCCAGGACCCCACTAGGAACGAGGAGCTCTTCCCGCCCTGAGCTCAGGCGTGAGCTGAAGTGGCCTCAGGAGCAGTGGATGGTGTGCAGGCACCGTGCTCAGGCTCCTTTTCTGTAACGGGGCTGAGTCCCAGGCCAAGTCGGGGTGTACGCAGAAGCGCTGCTCCACCCGTCCGTGCCAGGACCGCGCGGTGGACACTGAGGAGACAGCACAACCTGCACAAGTTTTTTCCCTGACCTCAGACGCCTTCGTGAGGAAGAACAAAGATGACCTGAAACATCCTCTTCTATTTATTCAGCTAACCCTGTTTTCTTTCAAAGAAAAATTCAGAAATCTCAACAGCTTAACCCAAGGGCCTATGTCCAGCCCAGGTGCCTGGTGATGCCTCAGCTAGGTGATGGAGACCAGGCGCTCTCCATGTTGTGACCTTGAACGAAGGGGATGCCAGGGAGGAGGCTTCGCCTGCCTTTGACCACTTCTTCCTAGAAACAACACACATCAGTGCCACTGGCAGGTGATTGGTGAGATCTCATCATGTGACCCCTCTACTGCAAAGCAAGCTGGGAAATGTAGTTTTCAGTTGTGTGGCTGCTTATTCACCAACTCCATGGCAGCACTGACGACCATTCTGTTCTCTACTGAGCCATGTTTAGCAGCACACCTGGCCTCCACTCACTAGCTTTCTAGAGGGTAAAAGTGCCCGGAGCCTGTGGAAACCACTGTTCTGTCAGGAAGGACCTGGGAAGCATAGGAGGGCGGCCATCTTCCTCAATTTTAGAGTCTTTCAATTCACACCCTCCCCAGCCAGTCTGATTATCCTCACAGGGTCTTTAAACATTGGGAATGTTCATATAGGCTTTGAATTTCTCACATTTTTGAAAAATTTGAAGGTCTGGCTAGAGGCCAGACTGGACCTGAGGCAGGACATGAGCACGGAGGGGACTTCAGAGAAAACACTAGGGGTGTGAGGTAAGTGGATTAATCAGGTCTTTATACCACTAGCCTCGTTGCTATCACCTGCAGCCTTGGCTGTGTTAATGCAGAAGGTGCTTGGGAGCCTGGGTGCAGGGCACGCGTGCCTGATTGTGGACACCTGCGTGTGGGCGTGCACGCGTGTGTAAGTGTGCACACCTGGGCCTAGAGGTGGGCTAAAAGCAGCAGCAGCAGGACACCTGCGTGGCTACAGAAGTAGCGAGATCACGAGATGACACGAGAGAGGTCCCAGAGAAAGAGCTCAAGATTTGTGGGGGCCTGGGAGGCTCAGGTGCCTGCCTGCCAGCCTCCCTGCCTGGTGAGCCTATGTACCTGGTTCCCCGGGAGAGCATTAAAGACTGAAAAATCCACCAGCTCTCTGGGACACCCCCTTATCTGTCCACCAGCATGGATAGTGAACCTACCCTGTACATGCTGGTCCTAGAGGAGAGGTGGCCAGGAGGGCCTTGAATGCTATTCCAACAAGCTGGGAGCTGAGCAGGAGGAACTTGAGGAGCCATGGAAGGTTCTGGAGCTGAAACTACCATTTTTCAAAATATCTTGGCAGCCAGTTTCAAGGGCAACTTCAGGAAGAGAACTGGAAACAACAGCACAGTGGCCGTTAGACTGGCTCAGGCCACAGAGACAGGAGGGGAAGGAGCCCCAAACGTGTGCCTGAGTCCCAACCCCTCTTCTGGCCAAGAAAGAAGCTGGGTCACCCCATGAATGGATCGCTCAGCAAACAAACTGCCCGGAGGCTGAGGCAGGACAGCGGGGACCTACCACAGACCCTGCACCCGACAGGCACCTGTGACTAGCACAGGCAACAAGGTGGTTGCCGAGGGAAGCTTTGCCCATAGCAACCCCATGGGAGGTGGACACGCTCACCTCCCGTGAGAAAGTTGAGGCTCGGCAGGGTAGAGAGACCTGCTCCCGGGCCACGGCGTGTGACAGCCATGGCTGAACCCAGGCCTCCCTGACTCCAGCCCACACTGTGCCCAGGCCTCCCGGACGCTAATCTATCACTTCAGTGAAAACCACCTTGGCCCATGAGCCCTTCCATAGGGGTAGTGAGAGCTCCAGCCAGCACTTTATAATTAGCCCTGTGGCTAACCCAGGCCTCCCACCAAGATCTAAGCCAGCCAATCTGGGGGTCAGGGAGGGGATTAAGTTCTCAGAAGAGGATTTGGGTTCCCAGTGTGGCGTCCTGGGGCAGCTCTAATCACCATGCCCAGCCTCAGGGTGGGTGGCACACGTGTGTCCCCCAGACTAGCAGGGTGCAGGCTGGGCTGGGGTCTGCCCGGGCAGGACCACCTCTTCCTCCTGCCCATTGAACAGAGGCTGAGGATCAGAGGCAAGGGCACACCAGCCACGTCACAGCCCAAGCACTTCTCTGGTGCCGCCTGAGCACCGCCCTGCCTCTCGGGGCACGTAGCCATCCATCTTCCCAACCACCCAAAGCCGGGACTGTCCCGTATTACATGAAGAAATGGAAGCAGAAAGATCAGGTTTGAAGCCACACCGCTTGGAAGAGAGGCAGGCCTCCGCCCCAGAGTGGGGCTCCTGAGGGGTGCTGCTAGAACTTC